CGGGAATGAAACATTTGAAGACTTGAAAAAATGTCTATCAATATGTCACCTTCTCTGAAGGTAAATGAATCCATATAGTTATCCTTAGATATCTGTTTTCCAATCTGCTCACAAATCACTCCAATTTTGCCATTTGTCATTAGCCCAAATCGAATAGCGGTCTGTGATACTGAAACAAGAGCCTGTTTCCTTACTCACAGTTGTCTGCTGGAGTTACTTCATCAAGCATACCCTTGAAATATGGTTGAATTGCCTTGACATTTCTCAGACTTTTGAAATGGTTCTTGCGCCCCCAGAAACTTAGTTGTCTAGCATAAACACCCAAATCCACACCTATCTACTGTTAGTGCATTGCAGAAAAGTCCTTAACAGCTCTTTTGTCCAGCTTCCCCACTTCTTCAGAAAATAAATTACAGGATTCTCAAGCTGTGAGGAAATTGTGAGCCTGTCCTTTGTTAACATTTGCAACATACTTTTGAGTATCGCTGGCACAAGGTAGTAGTATTAGATCAGAAGCACCTTCCAAGCATAAAAGTTGAACGGTTTCAGTGAATAAACACACACGGGTGGCAATGCGAACTCCCATTTGCTTTCATAAGCCATGTATGAATGATAGTGTATGGCAAACACACTCTATGGATTTTGAAGTTCCAGGAAATAGCGCGCTTCCATCTGTTCAAAAGATTCATTTCCAACCTCAACCTCATTCGCAGAGGGCATAAGTTGAAAAAATGCATTGGCAGATGTTTGTTTCTGGTTGTATGGGCCCTGCTGTTTCTGCACTGCAATATTCATATTAGGCTTTCACTACTAAAACAAAGTTATTTATGTCACGGAAAAATATGACTCGTATAGCCCTCTTCAAGTCTATTCCTTATTTGGAAAGGTTTGCTTAAAGAATCACTTTGCTGACCCTGTTTTACTAAATTTTTTGGTGGTCTGTTTATGTACAGTATAAGAAGAATATTAAAAAAAGACACAAAATGGATGGAAATGTACTGCATACAATTAAGGGCTGTCTTGGTACAAGATCACTGTCTTATCTCCATGTCTTGGAAGACAATCCATATCTAAACATTTCTTCAAGCCATTTCTTAGGCCTCTTTCTTCAAGCATTTATTTAAGGGATTCTTCTAGCATTCCCTGCATTTAACTTATCTCATGTTGTTCATTAAAGATATTTATGAGACCCTTTTTAGTTTTTAAAGAAATCCTCACACCATTTTTGTTTCCCAAAGGCCTTTAATATTTTACAGAAGAATACTAGGGATGCCGAGATGGCTTTTCTTTGTCTCATGAAATTCCACTTAACTCAGGGTAAGCTAGTAATTGCTTTAAAAAAAATATTCCTTTCTCTATCTTACATATCTCAGGAAAAAAAAAAAAGATAGCTTCATGATTCTTGAGTATGCGCAGATGACACTCAGGCTATGACCACACACACAATCCTGTACAGTTGATGGAACAGTTCTAATTAAAAAGAGGAACCCCAGTACTAAGTTCTTTCTGTTTCTTACCTTTGTTTATATTCTTTGGCGAAAACCTGGAACAGAGGGTCCATCATACTGCTGAATCATCTGCGGAGGGAAGAAGCACAGGCTTAAAAATTTGCCCCTTTCTGCATTTGCATTGATACATAGTCCTGACGACATTATAATAGGCTTCCCTCCAGCACTCCTCCCCCACTAAATTCTGTTGTTTACTGTGCATGATGGAAAAGAGATAGAATTGGAGTTGCAAGGGCACCCATAGAAAGGCAAGTTGCTAACCTTCAAGTGGTTGACTTTGCAAACTCGTTTGTTTTTGATACGGATTTTGTGTATGGTTTGCGATAAACATAGAAAAAAAAACTGGAAGAGTTGCCAGTCAATAAAATAGCAATGTATAAAGTTGTGTTATGAAATGTTCCAGCACACACTGATTTCAATATATGATATATTGTTATCTATTTTTGTATAACATTATTAAATAATAATTCATTACATGCCTAATTTTCATGTAGAAACTATTTTGTAGTTAGCAAATAATTAGTAATACATTTGTTTTGGTGAAGAAATAGAAGATTTGTACTATACCTAATTGTGATCCTGTAACTTTGATGCTTAGGTGCATGAAAGTAAGGAAAAATGCTTTACTATTTAGAGAATATTCACTCAGCCATTCTTTACATGCTATAGTCTTGATTTTCCTCCTTTCCTCTTCTAAAGCAGAAGGAAGTCTTGAGTAAAACTATCAGGCTGCATTTTTATTGGGAATCTATTCTTATGGAATAGGTGGTGTTATCTGCTATATTCATCAGCTGTGGGGATTTCACAAGCGAGGACATTTTTCACCCGTTGTCAGCAGCACTGGAATGGAGGCTGTCCAGAAAACCTCTTGAGCTGGTAGCTTTTCTAACACGCTGCCTTTGAGGTCTTTTCATCTCTGCTCCATTCTGGGCTACCCCGGCAAAAATGTTGTACCCAAAGACTGAATCTGATTTGAACATTTAGTGAGCAGAAGTAATGTGGAAAACTTCACTTGCATTTAATTATATAATGTTGTTTTAAAATAAAACGAGTTCACATACAATTACAGCCAATTTACAGCAGCCACTCACTAATGTAAATTAAAAAGTCTGCAACTGCAGAATAATTATACTTTAATTGCACATTTAATACGAGAAAGTGAAGAGGGTCTAATGCATTGTATTTATGATATAACAAGCATGTGAAAAAATATATTAGCATAAAGGGAGTAATTATGTTCCAAGAATGAACAAATTAATTCAAATCAACACCTAGGATGCTAAAGGTTTAATGTCCTTTTTTTTTTAATTTGTATTGTTAAACAGCCACAGTTACTTTTCCATACATATTAATTATTAACGGAAAAATTGATTAGCCTTGATTTGCACCTATTCTGTCTGTTACTGTTCTCTTAGGATTTTACAGATCTAACACATACTGCTATCAGTCACCCTTTTCCTGTGAAGACCTTTGGCATAATACCTTGTTTCCCAGCCACTCAAACAAAATAATATCCAAAATTAGGCTTTACTGGAAATACCATCACTAGATATTAGCTAAAATTTCACTGCTTCATTATGAAATTGCCTTTAGCATCTGAGAGGTCTATTCTCTCCCTAATATGTATGGATATATAACTTCCATTAATGTTAATGGCTGATGTGTGCTTGCACATAACAAGTATTACCTTCTTAGATAGAGACAAACATGGACCGCTGTGCATGTTACTCAGACTAGCAGTGTGTGACCTGGAAGTTAAGAGAAAAAAAAGAAAAGAAAAAAAAAAGGCAAAAAGGCAGGTGGTGTAATAAAAATTCTGGCAAAGGAAAGCAGTTAACAACGCCAATCATGTAATCGTAAAAACTAGGAATATGCAGCTTGACTTCCTGTGCAGGCTGTATAAACAAAATGACCTTTGTATATGATTAGACACCTGTTTTAGAGCAGAGATTTGAATGGCTACCTGACCTTTTTTTCTTTATATCACCTATTTATTCTATGTGACTGTATATCGTAGAATCGTAGAACCATAGAATGGTTGGAGTTGGAAGGGACCTTAAAGATCATTTAGTTCCAACCCCTCTGCCATGGGCAGGGACACCTCCCACTAGACTAGGTTGCTCAAAGACTCATCCAGCCTGGCCTTAAACACCTCCAGGGATGGAGCTTCCACAACTTCTCTGGGCAACCTGTTCCATTGTCCCACCACCCTCACAGTAAAGAATTTCTTCCTAATAGCTAATTTAAATCTACTCTCTTTCAGTTTAAAACCATTACCCCTTGTCCTACCCTTACACTGCCTGATAAAGAGTCCCTCTCCACCTTTCCTGTAGGCCCCTTTTTAGTACTGGAAGGCTGCAGTAAGGTCTCCCCGGAGCCTTCTCTTCTCCCGGCTGAACAACCCCAACTCTCTCAGCCTCTCCTCAGAGGTGTTCCAGCCCTCTGATCATCTTTGTGGCCCTCCTCTGGACCTGCTCCAAAAGGTCCATATCCTTCTTACGTTGGGGACCCCAGAGCTGGATGCAATACTCCAGGTGGGGTCTCAGGAGAGCGGAGCAGAGCAGCAGAATCACCTCCCTTGACCTGCTGGCCACGGTTCTTTTGATGCAGCCCAAGATGTGGTTGGCTTTCTGGGTTGTGAGCGCACATTACCAGGTCATGTTGAGCTTGTCATCTACCAACACCTCAAGTCCTTCTCCTCAGGTTGCTCATGTTGCTTTTATAGGGATTTTTCCACCACACAATTGTAGAGCTAGATGGGGGGAGCAGATAGGCCTGCAGATGATGATTTTACTGAGTTTCTTCGTAACTGAAGAAAACATTTGCACTTCCAAGCAACCATGTAACTGAGCAGTCATGTATGTGTGAAAATACTGGTTTTGCTAGCTACAGTTTATTACCTTAGTCCACGCATTGGCAGAGCTAGATGTAATAGAAATAATAAATCACACAATGTTGAGGTTGGAAGGGACCCTTGGAGGTCATCTTTTCTGACCTCCCTGCTCAAAGAGAGCTGCCTAGAGCAGGCTGCCCAGGACCAGACTGCTGTTGAATATCTTCAAGGATGGAGACTCCATAACCTCCTTGGGCAACCCATGCCACTGCTCGGTCACCCTCACAGTAAAAAAAGTGTTTCCTGAGATGGAACCTCCTGTGTTTCTGTTTGTGCCCGTTAGCTCTTATCACTGGGCACCACTTGAAAAGAGCCTGGCCCCATCTTCTTTGCACCCTCCCATCAGGTATTTGTACACATAGATGAGATCCACCCTGAGCCGCCTTTTCTCTAGGCTGAACAGTTCCAGGTCTCTCAGCCTTTCCTCATATGTAGATGCTCCAGTCCCTTCTTCTCCTTAGTGGCCCTTTGCTGGACTTCCTCCAGTATCTCTATGTCTGTCTTATACTGGGGACCCCAAAACTGGGCACACGACTGAAGGATCACCTCCCTTGACCTGCTGACAATACTTTGTCTAATTCAGCCCAGGATGCCATTAGCCGCCTTTGCTTCAAAGGCACATTGCTAGGTCATGGTCAACGTGCTGTCTCAAAAGTCAGCTAGTACCCTCTCTTTTTAATAGCAAAGGTCTGCTCTGTGGGTATGTAGGCAGAATAGAGAATTCAGCTGAGTTCCAGTGACTGCCTCTGAGGAAACCGTCCTCTGGTTCTGCTTTGGTTTTGGTCTATTCTGTTGTTTGGAAAAGTAAGAAGCTTTGACCCTGCATCTACATGAGACTCTTTGGGAGTCTCACATCCTTTGATCTGTCTTCAGTGTGCCTTGCATCAGCTGATTTACCACAGTTATATATATATACACGTGTATATATCAAGTGAAGCTAATAAAAATCCACCTGTGGATAGGATCAGAAGATGTGTATTTTACATTATGTAGCTCAGTAGCACCTGGGTCCTTGAGTAGAATTCCAGCTTGTTGCAATGAAGCAAAAAATAAATAACAATAAGATGCTGTGTCAGCCCTTTGAGCTTTAGTGCAGAGTATAGAAATATGTTGCCTGACTTTTAATTAATTCTTCATTATTTTTTCAGGCAATCTTCCGCTATAGAAGGGGCCACATGAGGCTGTTTCCAACAGCAAGAACAAAACAAAACAAGAGCAGTGTAATAACATAAACCCATGTATCATAAAAATCACAAAGCACAATTTTATTATTGCCTTCTTAAATGCAGTTCCTAAAAGCAGCTTGGTGGAGAAGGCAAACTGAAGTAATGAACTCCTTGAACAGTCCTTTTAATATTCTGCTCTATGTTCGTGCTCTGCAGAGCCAACGAGAGCTGTATGCAAACAGTTTTGCCGAGGGCAAAAGAATGTTTCATCATTAAGGAGCATGACCCTTCTCTCTGTGATCAAAATGAAAAGCGTATGTCCCTTGATGTCATAAAGTGTTTTTGTGACCGTTCCAGTGGGTTGTTCCTCAAGAGTTGGGATGTTGTCCCCTGACACAATTTGATATTAAAATGTTACATGATCATTAATTGTATCCACTGACACAGCAGAAATATTCCTCAGTTATGTTTCTTTGATATGACGGATTTTTTCTTTTTTTCTTTTAATGTTTAAAACCCAAATCAGACACAGGGAAAGTCCAATTACTGTGAAATGCTTTGTCTCCCACTTTTTCTCTGTGGTCCTTCTGTTCCACTCTTGTTTCATGTTAGGCTTGGTGAAACCAGTCTCAGTGAACTCCTTGGTAGTTATTTTATACCTTGTGAATAACAGGATATATCTATCTCTTGTTTATGTATGCGTGATTTTTGTCCTGTTTCTCCATGAAGTGATTATTGCTTGCAAAAATGCATTTAGCCCTTAACAGGACATTGCATTTTAAAGTAGCATGCAAAGAACAGAAGAATCTCCAGTATTAGTCACTGTTATACTCAATGGTTAACATTTTAAAAGCATAGTTGTTACCGTGCAGAAGTTCTAACATTGTAACGCATCAACAAAATACAGAAATTTTCTGTGAAACCAATGCTTTTGACATTTGTGGGTTGGTAATTTGTGACCTTCACATTTTTTTTATTATGTTTTTAAGCATGGTCACATTTCAATTTCTCCTTGTCAGGTCCAATTCCAACAAAGCACTTAAACCCACAACTTAAGTTGGGGAGCAATCCCATCTAATACCATTGGGAATTATTCACTTATTTAAAAACAATTGAAAGAGCTTTGCTGGACAGAGATCTTATATTTCAGTCTCAGTTTCCAGTACTTCAGAAGTAGATTCTCTATGTACAGTTTTGATTTTCTGATTTTCTTTTTCTTTACAGGTAACCCGATAGCTAAAGACAAATCAAGTCAGTCTCAAGGCTGATAACATTAAATACAACACATAGGAATTTCATTCCTCCAGGCAATCCTTGAAGTGAAATTTTATACTGCTGGGGTGTATCCTTCAGAATCAATTGTTTCAATGAGAACCTGGCTTGTAATCAGCAACAGCCTTGATATCAAAACTACTGGAAAGTTATTTTGAACTTCTGTGTCACAAAGATTTCAACTGTTTGAACTGTGTACACTTGTAAAATTGCACTTGCTGAGGAATTTGCAGCTGTAATCACAAGAGCTGATATTCAAAAGGTGCAGAAAAGCAGCAATCTTTCGGATTCTCCATTCCAGACTGATGGCTTTTCATCTTGATGAAGTCAACCTCCAAAATGTATTTGTTCCTTCTCTCTAAAATGATCCCTGATCCATCGTTCAGATTGCTGGTGGGACTGCACACTGCTTTAATTACATTTCTGTTGCAGAAATTGTCCTCTGGCATGGCGCAGTTTTAGACATTTTTATTTGTATTCTAATCTTGGAGCTCTCAAAGGTACATATTTCAACATCTTGAAGTTGCTTTTGTTATAGGAATGGAAATATATATCCATTGTTAATAATTACTGTTGACAAGTAATAGTTATCTGAATACATCAGTCATATTAGAATGTATAGTCAGGTTGACATGTTTCCCTAAGGCTAACCAACTACTGCAGCTCTTTGGCAGTTAAAAAAGTAGTGGTCAAAACTCAATTACCACTTCCATTATAAGGCATTTTATACCTTTACGATATACATTTCCATTTAGTTTGAAGGAAATGGGTGTTCCTGGTATGTACTTTAGTTTCCCAACCTTTAATTGATTGAAATCCATGGTAAGCAGTCAATGACCGTATTTCATCCCTTTTTATAAAGGTAGGCAGGGATGTAAATGAGTTTTGCAATTATGAAATTGGATGGTAATCATTCAGAATTTTTGTCTTTTTATTAAAAAATAAAATCTCTTGCTTGGACGTAAGTACTGTTGGATGCTTATGTAGATGTCTGCCCAGTCTGTTTACTATAAAGGAAAAAAGTCCTAGTGCCCTCCCAGATTCACAGTTCATGGGTATTTTGCTTGCTTACAGTCATCCAATTCAGATCTGATCCTTGCCAAGATCACATTTGCTTTTTTGTTTGTTTGTTTCAGTAGCAATTTTTGAACTTTGTGATGTGCTGTTACATGAAAAAAATCCTCAATATTTAAAGGCCTTAAGCATCTCTGAGCTTTTTTCTAAGTTATTACAGAATGTATAATTTTATACTCCATTTAATGTATATTGTACCATCTGTAATATTGATACAAGAGAAATTTGGCAATTCCTTTTAGTGACACTGCATAAGCGTGCTGACTGGAGAGGGTGAGGGAGTTCTGGCTGTATGCTTTGGTGCGTTGAAATGAAAGCCACACACAGTTAATGGTAGTCAAAAATATATAGGGGCAAGCTTATTTAAATAAAGTCCTGTGTGGTTACCAGACTCCCAGAAAAAGAGGGAAATGATTTTATCATTACAAGCCATTGACATGGCTAGGTAGTTATATATTAAATTCCATGATGGATGAACACCCTGGAGTGCTCTGCCTGTCACAGTAGCCCCTGCTGTTCCAAAACCATTTCATTACCTCTGCTGTATTATTGCACAGGAGAGCTTAAATAAAATAAATGACTGTTGGGAATAAAATTGAGAAGTATATTCTATCATTCTGCTGAGAAATAATAAAAAATGTTGGCAGGGAAAGATATTCTTTTCTGATTAAAATTTAATTAGGATAAACTGTTTGTAGCAGCCACTAGGTATGTCAGTATTTTAGGACGGATTAATATTGTATGGAATTGTGCTAACTGGTGCAGGACAGAAGGTAGCATCTTAAAGAGATTGTCTGGGACAGTGCAAAGTGTGAATGTGCTGTTTTGTAAAATCTGAATTTGGCCTGTCTGGTCAAAAATCTACATCATGCTTCTCAATATTTGTTTTCTTTGTTTCTTTGTTCTTAAACCAACACTGAAGATACTGTATTATATACAAGTGTAACACATGCATATCAATAAGTGAAAATAAATGGATTTTCAAATATACTGAATAGATTATCTGCAGTAGATTAATGTTGTGAATATTCATAACAAGTGAATAAAATTGTAATATAAAATATAGTTCCCTGTATGGATGTGCGCTTTGGAGATCTGTTCTGTTTACCCATGGAACAAAATAATTTTTTTTCAGTGGATAAGAATCTCAAGGGTTATATTAATTTTGTATTTCTTCGGTAGAGCTGGGAATATCTCCTACCACTTTGAAAGGTCCTTTTCCAGAGGAAACAGCACAACTGTTCTAGCATTGTCATGGGAAATTCTGGTGAGCGTACTGTTGTTTTCAGGCCAGACTGAATAATTTTTTTTTCTTCACAAAATGGGAATTATGAAAAATTCCATTTAGATCTTTTCAGTAGCAACAGAACATGGTAGGCATTTCTGAAAAGGTAATGTTTCAGGTTATTTTGTTGAACTGTTTAACAGAAAACCAAAAAAGACAGTTCAACAGTGGACTCTGCTCGTGCATCCCAAAAGAGAGCTGGGAACCATAGGTCAGTTATCCATAGTGACTGTTTTAGTGCTACCTTTGAAAAGGTGACTCGATCAGCTATGGGCTTTCACATTGTAAGCACGTGAAGATGAATCCTGCTTCAATTACTCCTTTATTCCTTATACACTACTTCCCAGATTATTTGATATACCCAGCTTCATCCAATTACAAAGATGATCAGACATTACGATCAGAGGGAAATCCGTGTTACTCTTTGAATTCAGTAATCATCAAGAACTCCGAACTGCAGGAGGATATGGGTTCCTATTCTGCAGTGCCATGCGGCAGTGCATTGACAGGGAAAGAAAATTCACTGCTTTGTTCAAACCTTTCAAAATAAAATGCACTGGATCAGTTCAACAAAGCAAAACCGAAATTCTGGTCTTAATGAAAAAGAATTCCAAATCAGATATAATAAACCTAAGATAGAGCTTATAAAAAACATTCAAGACTATATCTTAGTTGTATCTGTCTTATTGGTCATAAGTAAGTGTTAACCCTTGAAACAGCACTGCTGCAGATACTACCTTTACATCTACCTATTATCCTATATCCTTTAAATCTTCCTATCTATCCTGTATCTTTTAAATCTTGACTCCTCCAGCTCTGCTCAAGAACGATACTGGTGTAGGGTTTCAGTATTTCACCAAGCCAATGCAGCTCTACTTTGTGTAGAATCTATATGTTTTAAAAGTAGAGGCAGAGTTCATCAGATAGATAGATTTGTTTTGAAACTAGAAATCTACTATAAAGCATGTTCTTTTGTTAGGTTTCATAAAAATATATTCTGGGGTTTTTTTGCTCATTATGATTGTCCAGCTGGCTTTTATAGTTTCTAGGTAATGCATGGATGTCTATAACAACAAAAAAGATGTGATTGGCATCCTTTTGTGTTGATTTACTGCTTCCTCCTTCATGACTTGAATTTTACACATCTGTTGTTAACCAATATGTTGGCAAGGAAAAAGAGCACAGTTTTGGTTTGTAATAGAAGTGTTGCCTTAATCTCTAGTTTCTTTTTGCCACTTAGATAGCTCTGTATCAAACATGCCACACCTGAACAATCTGATGGTATTAAATGATTTCTCATGGTTTCAGTGGTATTAAACTGAATAATGAGAATTACCTAATCACTTTGTTAGTCTTTATAACGCAGTTTGTATTCTGAGAAACTTTTCTGTTTATTCTTCTACAGGATGAGAAAACATTTCCAATTTACATCTTTGATCTTGTTTCTGGAAGACGTTATGTAATTTTCTGATACCGCTTTACAGGCAGTTATTGCAAATATTTTAGCAAAAATGTCTTCCATGGCTGTTTGTTTTACATCTACTGTATTCATCAGCACTGCTTATGTGGTGATTACAAGAGGTAGTATATGAAAAGGCTGAATTTTCCACAACTTTCTTTTGACAGGTGATGACAAGTGTTGCCAACATCTCTTAATCCAAAACTAACTTAAAACCATCTGGCAGGAGGGCCACTGGCAGTGACAGCTGGAAGCTATTGTATAAAGGAATGAATAAGGTTCTTAGACTGCTGTTAGTGGGATGCCAGGCAAAACCATTGTAGTACGGTTTCATCAAGAGAGGTGTAGGTTCTGGGGAAGTGGATGCTGCCTGGGAGCACTGGGGTACAGTCAGCATCCCGAAGCTGGGGCTGTGGTGGTGACAGCAGGTCCTCAGGCCTGTTCTCTAGAGTGGTGGAAAGGTCTGTCTCGTGTGTCTCTGGGATTTGCTCCAAAGCCAGACCGCAGAAATGGCAAGGTACCTTGTGATTTCAGTGGGGTTTGGATAAGGCCTTCAGCTGCAGTTGATACTGTCCAGCATTTTGCTCAGAAAATTCTGAATGAGCAAGGTCATTAAAGTTCACATGCCTGTCCCTATTCAGATTAATGGTTAAAGAACCTTCCTTCTGTTTTTCAATCACTTCTTGCTACTGCACAGGTAATTTTGTGGCAATGGCAAGTGAAATGCAGTTACTCCTTAATAACAGATTTTCTTGATTAAATATCACTAATCACATCAATATTAGCCATGACTGAAAGACTTGAAATATATCTGGTTTTCAGTTCTAAAACCCAGTTTATTGCCCAACTAAGTTCAAGAAATAGTTTGTGTAATAGAAGTATTATTGCCCATATGTAAACCTAACTGTAAACGTTCTATACTAGCTCTTTAAAATATGTTTATATTCATAACTGTAAAATTCTGGCTACATTCTCTATAACAGCAGGACCATTCTTTTTCTCCCTGTAACACTGAGGTAACCTAAAGAGCCTGCAGTTTGGGATTTATGGCTTTGCTTTCACTGCTTCAACTGCACAGCTGGGAAAACAACATGTAAAAATACGTATGTTAGTTGCATTGCTGAGACGTTTGTCTTGAGTGTGATGAATAGGTAGAGTTGCAAGTTTACCCCATATCAGCATATTGCTTCAATCTCTTGATCTCTTTTCTCCTTACTGTCATAACAAACATGACAAAAACAGAACTTGAATTCTCCAGCCTTATGTCTTAGTATTTCAATCTGATATCCAGAACTCAAAAAATGTACGCTAGTTGTTTTAGTCACTGTGTCTCTGTATAAAGGAGGATTTTTAGTCCATTTATATCTTTTTTGGGTGTAGAGAATATAATCCCTCCTGTTACTGATTTAGAGTTGTTGTTGCTGTTGTTGTTATTTTTACTTTTCTTTGGTCATTTTCTCTTTTCCTGGGATCCAGTCAGTTCTTACAAAACTTCAGTAGTGATGAGAAAAGT